CACAAAAGTTCGAAAAAAAGACTGAAATAACAGTTTTCTCTAAAATTTTATTGGGTAACTTAAACAATTAATAATCCGTATTTCTACCGCGAACACTAACAACACAAGAACATCGGTTTGGCATACTCAAAATGAGTTCATCCAAATCACGCTGTGGAATGGCCGCCCATGTTCGTTGCAACAACAAAAAAAGGTCTTCTTGCGACTGGATACCCTCCATATTCGGCAGAGCTCTTCTCTGTAGCATATCCCATGCATGCTCAATCGGGTTCAAGTCTGGCGACTGAGCAGGCCAGGGCAGGACATTGATGTTAGCTGCGGCGAGAGTCTGTCTTACAACTCTTGCGGTGTGCGGTCGTGCATTATCATGCATTAACTGAAATAAGGGACCGATTTGCACTTGTAGAGGAACGACGACGTCTGATACAATCGTCTCAGCATAAATTTGAGCGTTGAGGTTGCCTCTGATCCAAATCAACTCAGTTCTTCCGCCGATCCAAATACCCGCCCATACCATGATGGTTCCACCACTATAAGGATGGACTTCCTGGCAGGATTTTAATCGCTGTTGGCGTCCAGGGGTTCTCCAGTGTCGTATACGTCTTGTATCCGGTCTCATACCAAAACGAGACTCATCAGAAAAGCACACGAAACGCCATTGTTCTTCTGCCCAATTTCTGTGTTCAAGAGCCCATTGATATCGAATCCTACGATTGTGCATTGCTATAGGTGGTACCCGTAGCGGTCTTCGGGAATGAAGGTTCACTTCATGCAAGCGGTTTCTGACTGTTTGGTCGCTAATTAAGTTCCCTGAAGAGTGATGAAGCCTCACGGCTAACATCATGGCGGTTATTGTTGGAGCTCTTCGAGTTAAGATTTGAATGTATCGGTCTTGTCTCCGTGTGGTGCAGCGATACCGTCCTCCATGGCGCTCAGCCACGGTACCAGTGCTTCGGTATCGTGTCCAAAGTCGACTGATAACACTCTGACTTGTATTCAGAGCTAAACCACAGTACGTTGCCGGGAACCAGCTTCTATCATTCCCACGGCTCTGAGCATTTCTTCCCTGCTTAAATGACGTCGCCGCTCCATAATAACGTTGGTTTTAATCAGTAGTAGGGAAACAGTAGCACTAATAATGTCTTCAATGCGTTGTATGTTTTTATAGGGAAAATATTGACAGCTGATTTTCATCTTTTACTCGAATTTGATTCACAGTTCCTGATTCAAATTATGAAATGCACCAAAAAGGATCCATATAAATTTATAAAATCATAAATTTATTACAAAGCCACATCTCAATCTCAAGAAATCCGCATAAAAATGCTTGATCCCTAGACACTTTTGATGTGTGTAGTTTCTATATAGACACAACGTGTTTTAGTTACTTACAAGTGCTAATTACATATGGACTAATAACTTAAATTCAGTAGTGATTTTAATTGAATATTTTGAATATTTATTTAATTTTTCAAATTAAAACTGAATTTAATTGACTGTGTTAACTATCCTTTTCCAGTCCTTTTATTATTTTATTGTAATTATTAATTATTTGCATGCAATTAAAAATATTTTTAATGATGCTAAAGAAGTATAACTTCTCAAGCGCGTACATAAGTTACACGCATCCATTTTTTTTTATTTTATGGAATACAGCCCAATACTTAATAATTCTTTTTGACAAGGTTGAAAAGTACCTACTTAACTAAGAAAAAAAAATCAAAATCAAAAATCAGCACATTGCACTGCCGCTCTGAGCAATGCCGTGTATTTTTTTTTTTGCTTGTGGAGTTCACCTCTACATACTTCATTGGGATTTCATTTATATGTTTCGGGCATTTCTTTATTTCCTTTTTCATATAATAATCTTGACAAAAAAAATGATTTCAATTTTATTATATGATAATGTATAAGAATATGTATTGCATATTGCAAATATATGTTTTAAATGCAAATTTGAGCTGAACACGATGAAATAAAAATAAATGTTAAAGTTAAATTGAAATCAATTTTTTTATCATGTTTATATTTCGTTATTTTTCTTCTAATATTCGATAATAGTTCACCTAGTAATGTTTATTAGTGATTATATAAACAAAAAAATCACATTGTTGCCCCGCGCGCGATTCAGCAATGAATAAATAAAAGTGAGCAACTCACTTCCTAGCGCGCGATCTGTGTACGGAAGAGACGGTTAAACATGGATGCTGATTTTAACTGAAGCATAAATTTTAAAGTAACGATGTCTAACGCTAATAAATTATAGTGGAAGAAAAGAGTAAGCACCGATAATCGATTTAAGCTGAAGTAATTTATAAAGCGTTGAATAAAAGTTATTAAGTAAAAACAAATTGAAATTCGGTATCTTATTCAATTGCCTCAAATATTACGCAAATATACTATATATTTGTTTTTGGAAAAAGTGACTTAGATCTGTTAATTTTTACTTCATGTAGTAAAATTAAAATTTGGTTAAATTCAAACAGTCAAAGCCAATTACAGGATACTCACAGGATATTTACTCTAAGTGTCTACATGAAAAATGAGTTTAAATCCGAAACTTGGTTTCAGCGGTAATACATTTACAAACTTAAGTGTTTTGAATGGGTTTATTAGGTTTTAAATCAAGGATTTTGGAAATAATTTGCAGTTATTCTGTTTATTCATTAGCTATTTCAGGAAGTATGCGTCGTAGAGCATAATGGGTATTACCTGTAGATGCAGCTTAATGAGACGGGTCGATTGGTATTATAAAAGTTCAGTAGCGGAAAAGTGCAGATAATCGGTTTTGGCACTAAGGGGACGATTTACTAACTTCTCGCTTTCTAAATGCGCTTTGTTCGTTATTTTGAAAATGTACATATTAATAATTATAATTAGTAATGATTATTAATAGGAGTAACAATTAATTAATTCTTCATTAATAATTCTTATTAATAAATAATGAACAAAAATATTTACAAAGAATATGGAAATTTATTTAAATTCAAAATAGGGAACCCTTCTACTGCAAAGGCGATGTTCTTGGCTGTATCATTTCGGTGGTCATTTTTTACCATTTCGGTAGACAATATTCATTTCAGTGGACTGCCGAAAACTCATCCTTAAATATTTCAGTAAGTGGTGATTGTTGAATTTGACGCGTAGGATCGTTTAAAAATTAAAAAAAAAAAACTAACAATATATTTTCTTTTTTTATTTTGCGCCTTTAATTGCATTTTGTGTAAAAACTATGGGAGATACGCGAAAATATGTTGATACCTTTTTTGTAGGAAATTAAATTTTCTACAACTTTGTACTAGAAACTTTTTCTATTTTTCCAGCCAGTCGAGATATTGACGAAAAACTCGTTTTTGCACCATTTCGCATTTTTTTTTTCACCCTTTGCCGTCAATGCAGCACCCTGCAATTTTAGTATATTAATCTACGAACCCTTGCGGAAATGTTCGCGTTGGTTGCAGGTGATCAACTCAAAATGGCAAAGTTAAGCCTTCATTGACTGGACTAATCCGCTAACATGCCATGCACTGTACAAATTATCTTGACAATTTCAGTTAATAGACTTAGAGATAAAAGGGGAACATGGAGTGCTATGGCTACTTATTGCTTCTAAGATAGTTAAAATATTACTTTGGAATATGGCTATATAGGTAACTTATTTCCAACCAATTACTAGTGTCTTGTAACTTTCTTTTATTCCAATCCTACTGAGTTTTTTTAAGGTTCAAAACGATATTTTCTAGATTATGCCATTCAATCGTACCTTCGTATTTATTAACAAGAATTAGACATTACTGAAGGCTGTCTGTCCACTGGAGCGGAGCGAGGCTGCGGAGCGGAGAAACGGAGTAATATTACCCAATAGGATTGCACTTATTCTACTCACTAAAGAGGAGCGGAGATTTTCTGTAATCTTATTGGTTAATATTTCTCCGTTTCTCCGCACCGCAGTCACGCTCCGCTCCCGTGGACAGGCAGCCTAAGTGGAGACTCTTGAGCAACATTATTCACTTCATATTTAAAAAATGAGCAAGTAAGAACTGTCAAAATTGAGAATTCACATAATTGCCATTAATGAAACGAATCAAAAGCGCCGTCGCGTGACATTCTGTCTCTCTCGCACGGTATCCTAAGAGCACGTACGTGAGGGAGATATAGTCAATATTAACAATTTTCCACTTTTGCGATTTTATATAATTTGCAATTTCCTACGTCCTCATTTGCAATTTGTTTTTTATTGGCTCTATCAACTATATTAAATACCCTAGATACACCATATGCGCTCAAAATGTGTCCTAATCAAGAAGTGCTTGAACACCACTCAAGCACTTTTTGGTTCACACTCACGCGCGATACGTTGAAAAGTCAAGTTGCCGCAGAGCTCCGTGAAAAAATGGGGAAAAAATACCTTTAGTATATAAAGTGTAGTTTTTCGGACGGGTATCTAATCAATGTTTGTGAATTTAACGCATTTGAAGCAAATTTTGTTTTAATACTTACTAAACTGATTTAATAAAAAAGTCAAGGAGGAGCTTGATGGCGTAAGTATTTAGCGCATTCGGCTGTGATCGTTGTAGTAGCAACTTTCGCTACGATCGGTCATTGGATGGGTGACAAAAAATTTACTATCTTGAGCTCCCCCGTGCTTCGGAAGGCACGTTAAGCCGTTGGTCCCGGCTGCATATTTAGTCGTTAGCTCCCACTAGCCCCCACCAATCTGCATTGGGTTCGCGTGGTGTGGCCCAATCTCCCTATTCCATCCAAAGGAAAGGTCTGTGCCGCAGCAGTGGGGAAGTAAATAGGTTGATGATGATAACTAAGTAATATTAATCTTTTTAGGTGCTTACTAACGTAACAAAATAATGACTTGGTTACTTAGCAACAAAGTAAAATTACTTGTTTTTGTTTTTAAATACGATGGTCAGTGTTTCTGGGAAGTTTTTTCCCTTTAATACGGGGTCATCGTTATTACTTATATTAATGTATTTATTTTAACATAGCAGAGCGAGCCAAATCTAGACGAAAATGGAGATGAGGTTTTGCCCGAAACGCCACCTATCCGCTTTCATCCCCGCCGCAGGTAAGTTTTATATACTTGTGAGATTATTATCGCATTATTATTTTATTAGGTATATTTTTGATGGAAAAAATTAACTGACAAAGTATGTGTGTAGTTCGTCGTAGATTGAAATTTGATTTTTCATGTTTGCCCCTTCAGGAAACAGGAATAATTTATTATAGATTAGTATGGGGTATAGGTTTTCTATAGGTTTTGTAGCTCAAGCCCATTGAAAACAGCATTTATGGAACTTAAATACTGGCTACTTGAACATCTGTATATTCTTTATTAAAAAAAAATCACTTGGTCTAGGCTAGGCTTTATTTTGTATCTTAGTAATTACCTTAGTATTCTATCCAGTACCCGAGCATCCCAAAACACAAGCCTTATAGTCGCTTACTTTGGGGCTAGGCTTAATTGCTGTGTGAGTGTAGAAAATATTTATTTATTTATAACTTATTTTGATATTATTCTCTTTCGCTCAGGAGTCACAGAGTTGTGAGGGCAATGCGTGCCCGCCACACTCAGCCGCGTCACCTTGGCCAGCTGATAGAGGAACTGGAGACGTTGCAAGAGCAGTTTGCGCCATATCGCGCGGGCTACGTGAGCTTACTGCGTGCCGCCAACGAACCCGAGGTGACATTACTACATTTGTTTGACTACTTATAGGTAGTGTTTAGGGTATAATAATAATAATGATTTATTTGAATATTTATTGTAAAACAAACAAAAAACTATACAATTCTACTTAAGGCCCCCTTTACAAAATTGAAAGTCAAACGAACTTACCTGTAAGTGACGTTCGACTGATATTATACGATGTGATTCGCCCGAGAGATTACATTTAATTCACTTGTAGTAGCACGCATTATGTGCTGCCATCGTACACAATTTTAGAGCAACATTAACCTTTGCCTAAAAAATATAATAAAAATAAAATAAAATATGCGCTCACTCGCTGGGGGTAACTCAATATATTCATACACGTTTGGACTAAAGCGGTCTATTGGTTCTTGCTATTTCGTGTGATCATGGGTAGGATCTAGATATCTTCATAGAATAGCTGATCAGGGACAGGGAGGGTGTGTAATCTCTCGGGCGAATCACATCGTATAATATCAGTCGAACGTCACTTACAGGTAAGTTCGTTTGACTTTCAATTATACTTCTGTGATTCGCCCTTCGAGATTACATTTAATTCACTTGTAGATGTTTAAAGCTACACGAAATAGCTGACTATTAGCGATTAATGTAAATTAATATAGCTCTAGGTGGCTAATTGAAAAATCTATTTAAATATGACAAGATCGAAATTAGTTTGTAAAGAGAGCGAGAAAAGTTCGAGTTATTTTTGGATACTTCTAGTTTTCTTCATAAGCTCTATACTAATTTCTGGCTTGTTAGCAGCTAAAGTAGCAGCAGCTGTGAGAACGTGATAGTATCTATTCCGCTGTCTGGTAGCATTGCAAAGATACAGCGACTCGAAGTCTATGAACTAAATAATTATATTAATAATAAAAATAAAAACACATTCCCATTGCCTCTTCATTGCAGAAACTTTAAATAATATTCCAAAGTTTATGGCTGGGCATATTGAAGTTTTATCGTTATAATAAAGTCTGTAAATGGTGAGCTCGATTTATAGTTGAAGACTTAATCTGATCAATGATATTTAATTTCGAAACTTTCATTAGTAATAAAATTAATATTTGGCTTAATTTTAAATATAATAAATATGCTATGAGCAGTAAATAGAGCTAAAGAGTTATTAATATAATTTATGTAATAACTTTTTTGATTATTATTTAAAAAATAGCTGTATAAAATGCTATCACTTGGGTCCAAGCTTCTTCTTTAAATAATTGTGCACCCTACTTGGGACTCAAGTAGTACACATAGTAGTGTAGTACCCGCGACACTATAATTTGGTGACAGGGTAGGAAATTTATAAATTTCTTCGCATTAATCATTTGATAAGAATATTGTTTACAATTTTTGAATTTATTTTAATAATGACAGCCGCTTTTGTGCAATTTTTTTTTTTGAAATATGACATCAAAGAATCGAATCCAGAAATGTTAACTGATTGTTCGAAAAATAGTACATCATTGTGTCCACAAAAGAAGTGCCATTGCTTCAAACGAGTACTGTATTGTTATAAGATGTTAACATAATATCCGCGACGTCCAGAGAAGAACCTTTTCTTAGGAACGCTATCCTGATAGTACTGTGGCCACCAGGTCAGTTTGGTTGTTCACCCTTTTTAATTAATCGTTCCGCAAATAAATCTATCTGTCGGCTGTGCTAATGTTTTACAAAACCACTGATTTGCTTTATTAGCAATCTCCCACTCCATATCGTCGTGTATTTACTTAACTGTGCAACCTTATATTATTATTATCTTTGGAGCTAACATAAAATGCAAAGAAACAGAGACTTTTTTTATTTTTTTTATTTCTACCGTCGAATTTCCCGGCTTAAGCAGCATGAGGAAACTGAATGCTTCCCCATTCGGTTTATGTATGAAATAGCAGGGAGATTATATATGCAATGTCTTTTGCAAATATTTTAAGACTAAAAATGTGTCTCTTGATTCGACCGCTGTCCACAGGCAGTCTGATTTGAGCAAGTATTTCTGATAGTCTCCCAAACGTATTTGGTTGTCAGACACATCAATATTACTTAGCTACCGTTCGAATATTCGCCTGCTAAAGAGGTTAATGAGTCTATGTATTTTTACTATAAAAGGTTGCAATTTAGCTAGGTGTATTACGTACCCTCACTTTTTTTTCTTTAATCGTGAAGATTAATGACTCCGAAATAAACTTTTGTGAATTTTTAATCTTGTTAACATTCGCCAAGAGTATTACTCAGATAGTAGGTCCTTGATAACGCAAATATTGCATAAATTATTAAAAAATATACGGCGCAATATTTAAGTCAGAAAAAGGCAAAACTTAAAGTTTTCTGTAGATCTTATGTCTGCTGGCAAACAAATCGTTAAAGCGTCTTTTAAAACTAAAGAACAGACATGACGGTACTTCATGATTTTCTTTTAAAGTTCTATAACCCTCAAGCTTAGTGTGGTATAATTTATTTATCAGGTATAATTTATTTATTTAATGCCTGCGGTTTAAAAGGTGTCTGTTTTTACTGGTATCTTTTAATGAGAAAAATACTGACAAAAATCGACCCTCCAAGGGTTCAAACATTATACGCCGACACTAATGTGGACTCGACCGGCGGCAGTAGCGCCGCGACGTCAGTAAGTGGTGGTGCTCACTGCGGAGTTAACTCCATAGCTGTAAGAATGTCAAAAGACAGAAGTGCGGCCCGCACAGTTGCCGTCACCTTCGGGGCTACCTTCACCTACTTACCCAGACCACAGCAATCCATAAAATATATATATGGGCAGAGAAAACAAAGCGTAGCAATAGGTTTCTAACACCAAAGAGTCTACGGTACAATCTCTTGAACTACCGTCATGTTATTTAATATATAAGTCAAAAAATAATAAATTAACATTACGTCTCCCGGACTGCACTCGTCATATTTTTATCATTTGAGTTAAAAAAACAAAAAAATAATGGTACAATGTCCCGGACTGCACTCATATTACTTATTATTTAAGTAAAAAAACTAAAGAAGTTTATGATACAACCTCTCGTACTGCAATCATTACTCATGTTACTTATTATTTAAGTTAAAAAAGTTAACGGTACAGTGTCGGACTGTACTCATGTTACTTATTATTTAGCAATTTATTATGTTGGCATAATTATTCATGGTGTGGGTACAACCTCACGAATTGCACTCTTTCCATAATATTAATGCAAATGAAAATCCTCACGTAGCCTCACGGACTATGCTCCAGGATTTGTCGTGCGACATTTTTTATACAGCGATCAACCTTACAGATTGAACTGAAGTACAGTTTATAGTTAGTATTAGCCTTGCAGACTAAAGTAGTCTATACTTATATAAAAAGAGGAAATATTTCTTTGTGTTTACCGAATAACATAAAAACTACTGAACCGATTTTCACAAATTATTTCTCCATTGTAGCCTCACGTAGCCTCACGGACTATGCTCCAGGATTTCTCGTGCGACATTTTTTTTTACAGCGATCAACCTTACAGATTGAACTGAAGTACAGTCTATTAATAGTTGGGATTAGCCTTGCAGACTATACTCAATTGCACGGGGTAGTCTATACTAATATTAAAGGAGAGGAAATGTTTGTCTGTTTTTACCGAATAACATAAAAACTACTGAAGTGACTTTCATTAATTCTTTCTCCATTGGAAAGCTTTATTAGCCCAGAGACATAGGATAGGCTATCTTTTTTGATGTTTAAATAAAGGAGACGGTATAGTTTTGTATGGGAGGTGGTAGTGAGTAACCGGCAGCATTGGCATTTATACCACTTAAAGTTCATATTTTTTTAAATCATTTGCTAATTTTTCAGATTTTTTTGCACCTCCGTTTTTTTGTAATTAATTATCAAAGTTCCAGGAAATAATTAATCTGGCAGCATTGTACACAATTCTTAAATATGCAAATAGTGCAAATCCTATTATCGATTATCGATATTTTTCATTGGGTAATCGCTTTTTTATTCTCATTCTATTAATGAATGTCAATTGCAATTATAAAATGTAATCTGACTGCTGTCATAGATAGCAATCGTGCCTTTGGGGTTTCCCGAGGGTTGGTGTCAAGCAGGCCATAAAAATCGAAATGACAAAACTATAGGATCTGCAGCGTTGTCAATATCAAGATACTGACTCCATTTGAATTGGGTGCAGAGTAAGAAGATGACACAAATCCATCTATACTCATATTGCATCAAAGCTAAAATAAGGAAGTGCCGGCGAAGTGTAGTACAATAACATCACCCCGTTTCCTCTATGGGTGTCATAGAAGGCGACTAATGGATCACTTCAGGAGTTTTCACCACCTTATTCTGCGTCCACCAATCTGCATTTGGCAATCACTGTGGATTACTGACTAAACCTACTTTCTTAACAAGGAGAGGCCTTGTGTCCCAGCAGTAGGTCGGATTAAAAAGCCTGTGATGATGAGGGTAGGAAGTTGATGATTTCCCTGCATTATATTGCAATATGTTATTAATTTTAAATTATTCAATTAACAATCGTGCAAAGTAAATATGTAAGAATTTATGAAGTCAATATCTTGTAGACTTTGTGTTTACATTTATACAAATCTGCATTATCATGATTCTGTCTTTTGTTTATCATAAATAATCGTAGCTTTATAAGCAACGTTTAGCTATGAATCTATTAACTTAAAAACCATTATGATTTTTAAACAAAAGTGGAACAATATTACCCTATACTACAAAAATAATGATCAGTTTTATTTTGATATAATCTTGAATATATAATCGAATAGTATTATCTTCTTTTATCGATTACTGACTGTATTAGTTAAGACACATCACTGATATTTTGTGCGTTTGACACATAAAAAAATGAGTTCCTTCGGCTTTGTTTGTTTCTGTTGGTAGTTCTTTCGTTCGCGTTAATGTTTATTTTTATATTTATTTGATCTTTTCTACTGTAAATTGACAACGATATTCCCGCTTATTCTGTTGACCCCTGCTGTGTCTTCTG